TCAAAAAGGGTACATTTAGTTAAATAGACTGGTCAGGTCAACAATGTAGGTCTTAAAGGTCTCAGCCCTAGTTTCAGACCTACTGTAAGAGTGCAGATTGGGGGAAAAGTCCTGAGTGGCCTCCTGGTGGGATCCCGGGGCATGCCCCCCAGAAATTTTTTTAATGAATATGTGCTGAGATGCAATCTGGCGCATTTTGAGCAATCTGGTGCAATTTTGCAAAATGTTACAGTGGTGTAATATTTTATTTTTTAGTCATGATCATGTACCTTGTCATATAGTGTCCTTAGACAGGAAATACTTACTTCATGTGCACTGACCTCGTCGCGTCAGGATGATTTTTCCAATATAGTTACTTAAATACAGCTGTACTGTAATGATAACAATATATTTGGGGGGGGAGCTGGGCATACCCTAGACAGAACCCTGATCTTATATAGGGAAGTACTCCACTCAATCCCCAGGGGTATAGCGACCTCCATGTATGTAAGGTTAATCTGAATTCCGGAATCAGGACCTGGGCTTTGGAATATGGAATTCAGCTCAAGAAATCCAGAATCCCACTAAAAATAATTGGAATCAGGAATCCAAAGTTCCACTGAAAAGGAATCCAGAATTGAGTAACTGGAAACGGGAATTTACGGTGCAGAATCCAGAAACCAAGACTATCTAGAATTACCTTACGTAGTGTGAGTATAATATACGATTCCCACTACTACCTATTCCAGGGGCAGATCCAGGATTTTTTTTAGGAGAGGGTTTTTTTTCTTTTTGCATAATACCGGTTGTATTAGAAAACCACAGGTCATCTCGGGGGGGGGGAGGGTGCGCACCCCCTGCACCCTCCCCCTAGATCCCCCCCTGTATTCATCAAGCATTTGAGCAAACTTCCTTCATAATTTATTAAAGGGCTTTAAATATTACGGGGTGTTGCGATATTGCACAGTTCAATCAATCGGTAAGTACTTGGTGTAGGCACTCACGTAATGGTCCGATCATTAATTTAGTGGTTCACCGTGCTAGAGATACTTCATTATATTCTTAGTCAACGGTCTTTAGTATCCTTACCCATACTAACACATCCTCAGACATCCTTAAAAGTACTGACCCATCCTCAGATATCCTTACCCGTACTTACACGTGAATCAATCAATCAACTTTATTTAAACACAGTAAATGGCTCAGCAAGCTGGTTTTCAGACATGACGTGTAACAATTACAAATTATAATAATAAAACTAATGATTAACTAGCAATAATTTAGCACAAGAAATTACAATTTATCTATTCCTGTCGACTCTTATAAACGTGACTATCAAATTGACCTCAAATCGTTTAGCTTCGTTTGCAGTAACATAATCCACACAAAATTTCAACATTTATGATTTAGAAATGAATAATCTAACCCAAATAAGAAATTGTTCTTAACAGAAAACATGACACAGTACCTATTGAAATTTCGACGCTGTTTTGAATCCAGCAGCACTAAGTATTAAAAGCAAAATATCCGCTGGAGAAATTTTTTACCACCACATATCATGGAATACCGTAGAAAAATGTACTCAACGGGACTCTTGAACTGGCGCTTACCTTAATGTTTTCGTTCCTGTGTGGAAAAAACTGTTGAGGTCGCCAGATGGCTTGCTCTTGCATTTTCTTCGCGAATGTAGAATTCATTATAACATAAAATCTTCCAGACACTATTTTGTGGGTAGACCTGTTTGTGTTTTGGTGGTGGCCATTGTAGTTATAACATGAAGTATCAACCTTAAGTTATGCAAATACCGCTGTGCGAAAAAAGAAAAAACGCGGGAAGCGGAGGCATGACATTTTCGAGGTTGAGGGATTTTTTTTTTTGTAATATAACGAAACTGGAATTTTTTTTCACACACTTTCAGATTATTTTGAATAAACAAAAATACCTCATTTGAATCAAAGCGCCGTCCCCCACCTCCCACCCCTTCAAAAAAACCAACGTTGGGCAGCACTGAGTTGAAGATCTTATGTTTTGGCAAAAGTCTTCGTCACAAGCTACTGTAGGTGCGCCTGAATTTTTCGTTTGCAGGTATTTTTCTCATGAATACTGTGATCCGTTCTTTGTTACGTTGTTTATGTATCAATGTTTACTAGTCCCTAAACGCTTCTGCACCCAATATTTTGGGATGACCTAAAGTGTAGCAGTTCATGTTTTTACAATAACCTATGCCTTTGAGATGACCGCTTGTCAGTGTAAACGTTTTGCGTGTGTTAAATATAAACTTCCAACAACACTTGCACGTCAACGGTAGGTACAATAGAGAGGAGACGTGTGACGTCACGTTACCATGGTAGCAAAATTTTTGGATCTTAAAAATCTAGATGCCACCATGGCAACAACTTTAGGTTAATTAGGAAAAGGCTAGGAGTTGACTGCTTAATAGAATCAATTGACCCTTAAACTCTTTGACTTGTCATGGCGTGTTCAGTATTGTTGGTTTTCACATGACGTCACTAAAAATTTGAACTACAACCGATCCTGCTGAGATTTAGCCTGCGAAAACAGCCGTTTTCGGAGAACGTCTGCGACTTAGCGAAAGAGATTCCATACCCATGACGTAAAATCTGTCTGGAATCCGGTCATAAGCGCTGATTGGCCGACGGAGTAGTTACATTGTTTTAGCTATTGTTTACGAATGACAGACAAAAGACAAAAGGCCACTAAGTTAACTAAGTTGTAAACGCGATGACTCTATAACAAAACAGTCAATATGAGTGGTATATATTCTTCTTTAGAAGAAGCATTTGAGTTTTGCTGGAGCTCTTTCACAGATGAACACAGCACTTTACCAAATATATTATGCAATCATTGATTTACGTCATCGGTATGGAATTTCTGTCGCTGAGTCGCAGACGTTCCTCCTCTCGAAACGTCCCCAGCGGTGAGGAGCGAGAAGATTCGGCTGTTTTCGCAGGCCAACTGAGATTTTACTTTCATGATGTATTAGAGTAGCTGAAAACTAATTTTCATACAAATTTTCAGTTCGAATGGGTTCTTGGCTTTGTGATAGAGTAAGCTTGAATTTCTACGCTTTTGCGTGACGCGGCATTTACATGAGAGCAGAGAGTTGTCATGTAGGTTAGAAAAGCGACTTTTTCCGGTATTCCTGTTTTGGAGAAAGTATTCCTTTAATGTTTATGACTTCGTCGAGAGATAAATTCACGCTTTTGAAGCAAAACTCGGTGACAGATGTTTCTGTTGGTTTCCAGCCGTCATGTTGGTGCCCATCCGGATGGGCACCAACATGGCGTCTCTACACAAATCTCTATACATTTTGGTAAAACATTTCGGGCGCTCGAGAGGGAGACACGCGTGTCTCCCTCTCGTGCGCCTGTCTTTCTTGCGCCCTCTACTTCCAAGAGCCTGCAACGCAGGCTAAACATTTCTCCGGATATCTCGTATACGAAAGATTGCTCCGACTTGATCTTGGTGAGGGTCTTTGTATATTTACCTCCTTTCGTTTCCCAGATTCTGGACTTTATCTATTGAACGGTTTTGCTTTTTATTTTGATGGATTTTGAATGGCGTGGCACTGAAAACCAGCAACTTTTCACTTTCAATAGAGACCTTTAGATTCGAGGACGAGAAAGACTTCGAGTACGAAATTCAATTTAAAGTATTTTCGTTTATTCTCAATCAAAAATATACACCCTGTAAAGCTTCATAGTACTTTTCTATTACCAGAAAGGTTAGCACGGTGATTCATGTTTCCGTTACTACGACATTAGTGAGTTTAGGCCACAGGACGGCAGAAAGAAGAGGACGTCAAAACGGTTTTGCCGTCTTCTTTCCTCTCCCGTCCTGTTGCGTGAACTCGCCATTCTCGCAAAAACTCGTCTTAGAATGACGTTTTCCCGCCAAAGTGATTGTTGAGGAAATTTTCGCCTTGTAGTTTCCCTTGTCTCAAAATCTAAAGGTCTTTATTATCAGTGGACAAAATCCAATTGTGATACCATTGAAATGAAAGATCATGTTGGGCAGAATTTTTTCAAAGTATCATCTTTAGGGGTTTTTTTGTAAGTAACAATTAATTTAGAAATTCACAGACAATAAATTAACATTTTAAAATTCAAACATAGATACATTTGCTCATCTGTGAATTTCTAAATCATTACTTCTAAAATTGTTAATGTTTTGGGTTGACTTCCGTGGATATGTTAAAATACTTTGATCAAAGCGTGTCAAGTTATTACACTGTTTTCATAATTAAAAGAAAGCCTGATGCTATCAATCAATTGACCAAGCTGATTTCATGGTCGTGTGAATCTAACGGGTGCGGTTTGCAATGGTTTACTAACCTTATTTACTAAAAGAAACAGTGGAAAAAAGGAAAGCTTTAACGATTTTTGTTACTAAGGAAACAACGAGCTATCGTTTTCTCAATCATTAGTGATTCTCCAAATAACTGGAACTTTGTTCCTAACTTGGAACCACACTGACTTAATTTGGAAATATTTTCAATTCATCTTAAATTCCTACAGAAAATGTACATGTACGATAGTTGGTGCAGTTTATATCACGGTAATGAAAGACAGTTTAATTGTCGTTACTTTTGCTTTAAAGTTTGTTCATCTGATGTACTATGTATAAGTTAATAATACATCATACGTATATCATGTTTTGCCATATTTACTCTGGATGCATTACCTACTGTAATGTCGGAACAAAAAAAGCGACATCATTTAAAAACCTTACAGTTTTGTAAAAGTTTTCATATTAGCTGAAGTTAATATTTCGAAGCTCAAAAAAGTAATAGGGAAAAAATGCGCGTATAGTTGTACAAACGCTCTGGAATTGGGATCTTCAATCGCCTCATATATATGTTTTTGCTTACTTTTCTATTTACCAGTTATTCAGCTGCCGTTGGAGGATAATTAGCCAAGCTCGTGGTGAAGGCCTTATCAGATACCCTAAGCATTTTGTGCGAGCACAAACTCAGCCCCAGATAAGTTTTTTCTTTCAGGCTATTTCAAAATGAAAATTGCTGTCGCGATTGAAATTTTTCTTCTGGCCATTTGTCCATTGTCTGTGGCGAAGAATGACCTTGAACAGGCAAAACACGAATTCACAAATCTACGAGGTGATTTAGCGGGCCCAAAAAGGACGAGTGATATTTTGTTTCTTTTGGACACCTCCGGAAGCTTATCCTCATCGGACTTCAACGTTGAAAAGAAATTCGTCACGAACTTTCTAAACATGATAACAGTAAGTATTGAAGCAGCCAGAGTAGAGGTCATACCTTTTGGTGATAAAGCAAGCCGATACATAGACGGAGTCTCGAGTCCCTCGTCGCTCAAGCACAAGTGTCATCTGAACGATAGACTAAAAAATATGTCTCAGAGCATCAATGGTTGGCTGACGAATACGAAGGATGCCTTTAAGCTGGCCTACGATGTCTGCCTTGGGGTATTAAGCGCTTACAAACGACCCTACTCCTTTGATATGAGAACAGTTGTTATCCTCATAACGGACGGCTATGCGACTGTTCCATTTAACGATCAAAACCCTGTCAGTGATGCCCGGAGGCTCTATGAAACGGGGAAGGTGGAGGTCTTTGCAATTGGTGTCGGATACGTGGACGTGTCCTACATTCGAAGTTTGGTGAAAGATCCAGCTAAACAAGCATTTCATTTGCAAAACTTTAACCAGCTACAGGAGCTGTCTCTCGTCCTTAAGGGAGGTAAGTAGAATGAAAGATAAATTTCCAATTTGCCCCATAACAAGCATGAAATGCTTCCCGCGAGAGCCATATTATGGCTCTTTTTCCCGGTAACAATTATTCTCAGGATTACGCAACGACAGTTTCCTCCAATAAAGCATTGAAAAGTCTTTTTAGGCTATTCAGAGTACTTTTAGATCTCCAGAAAAGCATTCTAAGCGGCGCTTTAAAATTTGTATCTGTTTGGTCACCCTAGGGAAACTTGAGGCTTTTCGAAATTTTGAGATCTTCAGTATTATTTTCCCGAAAATTCTAGATGCAATTTAACATTTTACGAAAGTGAAATTTATTCTAACTCCCTTCTCGGTCACATTTTTGACTACGAAAATTTTAGGTTTCCTTTTTTTACGAAAAGTAGCCTATCCTGGGGAGTGAAATCTGAAAAATTAAACTTTAGAAAATCCTTGGGAGTTTATCAGATAAGCTTCGAAAATTGTACATGAATGGAACAGTCATAGCTGTTCTCAAGTACTAGAAAATTCTAGGCAATATTTGCCTCGCCGAACATATATTTTACAGAAACTAGTCGTTGGGTACCCCTGAATTCTCCGGGAAGAGAACATTATAGCTGTCCATCACGCTGTCAGTACAGCAGGCAGGGTTTCCAAACTAAAACTGAACTAGAAAAGGAGCTAATACACGTCACGCAAATATAAAGTGTTGTTACAAACACGTTAAAATAATCATTGAAATACTACGGCCCTGAAACGAAAAGCACACGTAAAACCCAAAAGGAAACAAAAACGGGCAAATTGTACAAGATCTTAAAACTTAATTTAGCATTCCCTTTAATATCTTAATAGAAATTTTACGGCTTTTTAAATGATTTCCAAAGGGGAAACTTAACCTTCAACTTTGGCATGATCTATTAGATAATTATCTGTGAGTATCGTGTTGACTTTCCTGCTGGTTTCCCTTGAAGTGCAGGCTAACCTATTTTGCTTTGGTTTTACCTTACCACCAGCAACTAGAGAGCAGACACTTGAGCTTTGGGCGCGCGAGGCTTGGGTGCGTCGATGTTTTTAGACTGTTTTTCAAGGAGGGCGCCTTGTAAAAACGATTTTGAGGACAAAAAAAACCGACAAATCGTTTTGCAATCTATAGAGACTAAGCTATATGGACTTTTTCTGTCTTTACTTTTTCCAGATCCGAGTCCAAGTGGCTCATCATATCAGCCTGCACACTCCCGAAATTGTTATTACACGTGCGACTTAAAAGCAACATGTGTCTGTGACGCACTATTCGGGACTCACAGATGCTGGTGCCTGGACGGATACGTGGGATCAGGACACACAGGAAAATGTCGCAGTAAGTTTACAACCAACAGTATAAATAAAAATTAGACACAAATATTGAAAGATTTTTTGGCGGGGGGGGGGGGGGAGGGGTTGTGTATGATAGGCTCGTTGATCATTTGCCTCACAAAAGGTTAGTCACCTTGTTACATTGCGACAAGGGAGGATAGCCAGAAACTGTTGTGGCGACGCGTCGACCGCAGCATGATCTTCATCATGGTGGCGATTATCAGAGAGATTGGCGCATTCGATCAGAATCATTGTTAAAATTAAAGAATGACATTTATTGATTATATTATGTTGTCTGCTGAAAGGCTATCGTTCTAAAAATATCGAGAACTTATCGGAACTTTTTGGAAAAAAAAAAATTAAAAAAAGGATTACCTTAACTAATCCTTCTTACAGCACAGGTTAGTAAACTCACGGATTTTATATCAATTTCTAAATAATTTTTTTTAGACCGGGCTGGTTAATATAACGTGATGCTATGGTGGAAGGCCGGCGTGGTTAAGAATTCAAGTTGGTTCCATCTATCTCAGGTCGAATCTGTTGTTTAAAGATTGCCAATTGATCACAATCAATACAAAAATCAAATTTTAATGATATTTAAATAACATTTTTCTCAATTCCTATGCCTATGAGCGGAGCTTCCCTATAAAAGAAGGCCTCAGTAAAGCGAGCGATATTCTTCGCCCCGTTATGAATAGTAAAACATGAAAAGAAAAAAACTTGATATAACGAAACTTCTCATTAACGAACATAATTTACCAATCCATTATTCCATCGTTTTTGCAAGGTTTAACGATTAGGGAGCATGCTTTACCTTTTTAACTCCCTGACTAGATTTATTTTATTGTTGTACAGAAATCGAAGACAAGAAAACAAAGTGAACAATTGGCTGACGCCTCACGATAGAGTACAGCCGAGGAAATTCCATTTGTTTGTATTAGCTAAGAGTAGTTAAATACTAGTAATGGAGCAAACATGAACAAAACAAGATTTAATTAAACTCCAATAAACCTATCTTATGAGTGTCACTATCTGGGCGATGCAAAATACCGAATAGGAAGCATGTAGCGTGTGTGGGCAACCTTTCGTCTCATGTAACGGAATCCAAGACAGTCCTGGATTCTAGATTTGACGCCTTGGATACCGGATCCCGCGTACTGGATTCCAGTCTTTGTAAGTGAAAATTGGATTCTGGATTCCAAACTTAAGTGGGAATTCCGGATTTCTTGAGCTGTATTCTGGATAACAATGCCAAGGATTCCGGATTCCACAAGCCAAAAATTTCCCGGATTCCGCAAACTGGATTCCCTTACATGGGGTGAAAGCTTTCAAGGGGCTGGGGGAGGAGGGGCAGGGGAAGGGGGACATAAAGGGGTTGCTTTTTATTGGGCAGCAAGAGGCCTGTTTCTTCCCTTATCACCAAGTTGCATAATTTATGTTCAGAGTTCCGTGCTGCCCGTTTACAATCCTTTTCCGAGGTGGTCGCTTACGAGAGCTGTATAAATGAATTCGACGGCCGTCATAGACATTGCCTTTTATTAAATATGTGTATGCTAATAACAACAACAACAACTTTATTGACTTTATCTTCGACATGAATATTTCAGTACCAAAACAATGACAAATGAAGAAAGTAAAATAAAAGTAAAGTAAGAAAAAAAAACAATTAAATATTATCGTAAAAGAAAAATTACTTGGCCATGTACGGCTTCTACGCTACTCGTGTGGTAAGAAGGTTTAATTAGAGTTTGGATGCATAACAATTTAGAATATTTTCAATATAAGAGGCACTGAGATTTATGTTTTTATCGTACACAGGCATGATAAAAATATTACTTTGCAAGACATATTCGTAAAATTACTGTTTATCGAGTATAGGCTCTCCACGAAGATACCCCTTATATGAGAAAGTGACGAGTGGGTATATTTCAACAAATAGTGGAATTCATCACCGATTTCGAATCTATAACAAGGGGGCAAAGCCTCTCAACTCTGGGTATCTTCTTATAGCGCCCAGATTCAATAGGTAGCAAGTGGCAAGAAATTCGCATTTTGGTTACTACCACTCTTGTCTTAACGTTCTTTATTAAGTCAAGATAAGATTCAAATCTGACTTCGTTTTCACTTCACTATACAGACTTAATTTATTGCCAACTGAGGAGTCGAATTTATCCTTGTTCAGACTTTTCGACCAATATTCCCAGTATTCTTTAAACAAATTTCTTTTAAACATTCTAACCAGGCGAGGAAATGTCCTGTAGTCAAGATAGATAAAAAAAAATCAATAGGCTCTAAGATGGCTCGACTAGCATGGATTTGTCAGGGCCAAGTTCAGCATTAACTACGCCGCCAGAAATTTCCATGTAAAGGAAAAGATTACTACCTTTGACAGCTTTACCAGACAAAGATGGAAAGTTGTTTGAGCGCTGTCATGTTGACGCTGACAGGGTAGGAGGGAAAAAAGAAAATCACGAAAGAAGGAAAAGGAGTGCCCGCAATATATAAGAACTGGTATATTGAACCAGTATGTTCACTTGTTGTCCTATCAATTCCTATGACGTCATCGATGTTCACGTATTCCTGCCCTCGTTAATAACACCCGCTTTCGACAAGGTAAGAATTGGCTTTTTACAGAATTATCGAAAAGTAGAAATGACCATCGGCAATGCGAATTATCCGACCATATTTGTTAATAAATAAACTCAGAAATTAAAAATCAATAAATAAATTTCCAGTTTTGTACATGTGCTTCATCCCCCCCCCCCCGCCCCTCCCCCTTCATCGACGCAATACCGCAGTTTTCTTTCCGATTTACCCCTTCATTAAATTTTCAGATTTTTTCTTTCTCTTTGTGAAAGACGACTTTAAAGTTTTTTCATAAGTATTTCAGTCCTCTTCTCTCAATTAGGACAAATTTAATAACGAAATTTACAGTCATTAAACTGAAAACCGCGTCAGAAAACAGGTTTGTTAAGCCTGAGAAACTTCAAAATCGCAGTAACAAAGGAAAAGGAAAGGAGAAAAAGAAAGAGCGCGGAGAAGGAAAGGAGGAGAAGAGAGAAAAGCAATAGTTACACCCTTAGTTTGTATAATAGCTACTTTTGAGATAGTTTTTGGCCGAAGAAAACTGTTGGACGCAAAAGGTCCAATTGGCGATAACGTTTTCAAAAATCCGGCTAGATATGTATCAATGAAAAAACGTGGCTTATAGTAGCAAGCATATAATAGCATCCTCTACATAGAAGCTAACACCAAAAAAAATCTATGTAAATTTTAATCAAGGTTCAATATGATACTACCGGAAAGCAAATGTTATTTTGGTAGAGCAAAACAAATTTCGAGGGTTTTCCGCAATAAAAATAACTGAGGTGCTCGTCGAAAATTTTCGAAAACACTTACTAATCTTAGCTTGTAGGCGTAACTCGGATTAATTTTCAACTCTCGATATCTGCAGTACAATTGATGTTAACCGTATTGATATCGGTGTATTGATGTCAGGTTAACTGTATTGATATAAAGAATTTACACGGTGATTTAAGCCAAAAACGGGGAATTATTAGTAAACGGCTTGCAACAGGAAGTCCTGGGAACGATGTTGACAACAGCAAACAGTTTCGGTACCTAAATATAGTTTTAAACTATTATTTTTGAATCGTTTCTGACGTCTATTAGCTAGCGGCTGCCTATAAAGCCTTCAGCACCTGAAGTCAAGCCCGCGATATTATATTCGTGTCCCAAACCAATAAAACGGCGGCCATGTTGGTGTCCCAAACCAGTCCTCTTTCCTCTTGTTTACGCTTTCTTTTCTACTTAGTTACTGGCCACGTGAGTGAAAACGTTCTATTGAGGGTCAACAGACAAAATATTCTGCGCCCCATCCCCCACCCCCTCCTGCTCCTTATCGGCTTGGGTCAGTGTGGTAGCGAGTAGTAGTGTAGTCGTAAGGCCGAGAGAGATTAGGATACGAAAGGTCCGGCTTCGAGGTAAGGGTTTTTCGCTTGGTGCGGTTGCAGCTTCTGGCGTTCCCTTTACAAAAACAACCTTCAAGAAACAAGCACGCAGTTTTTCAACAAGCTCCATCATACTTTATTTTTAAGATATACAACAACTGAAATGCGACCTAAAATACAATTACACCATAGCCGGACACGTAAACCCCGAAAACCAATTTAATTTGGAAAAATAGGGACCGAGTACCCCCAACCAGTGCTATGGTGACGTCTTTGGAGTTTTAAGGCCTACTGTATATAAGTGCGGAAAAAAATTAAAGCTAAGGTATATAAATGAATATTTCGCTAGGCTGAAAGTAGAGAGAAAACAAAAAGAAAAAATTATTCTAGGAGTGGATAGTCGGTGATGCTGTGCTCTAGAATAGCGCAATTTGAATATTTGTCGCCGTTTTAAAGTGCTCCAGCAATGATATTAATTAAAGCGCTTTCGCTCGCAATACAGATATTAAATTATTGTTTATTGGATCAATGTAAAGGGTGAAAGCTATGAGTCCCTGCCTTTCACTAAGCAGACTGACGTTATGAAGTCTTTTTTTTTTTTGAGACAAATTCAGATCAGGCAAAAAACTTGCTCGGAACCTCTGAAAATCTTCATGCATTAGAAGGTTATGGCAATTTATGTTACATGTTAAGCTATAAAATCAGCGTTTGTGGCATTAATTAAGAAGAATTCAGAAGTTCCAAGTTACTCTCTAATTTTCATAGCCGAATTGATAAATTCAACATTACACTAACTGTATGCAAAAACTTCCATTTGTAAAATCAAGCTTTCTTCCTTTACATAATGGCTCCTACATTTGCTGTATATTTCAAGTTCATTTACCACGAAACTGATAATGAAAACAACAAAAACGGCCTCTTTTTATGGTCTTGGGTTAACTCTTTCACTCTAAAAAGCGTCTTACAGGAGCGGATCTTAAGGGGGAGGGTGCAGGGGTTGCGCAACCCCGATCCTGAGATGACCTGTGGCTTTCTTATACAGTTATATACAAAATCTGCTGTATCGTTTGATATGTATTTTCAGCAGTTCGCATTATGTTATTGCCTAGTCAAAAGCATTCTTCGATTCTTCGTATTCGCTTTATAAAATTTGTTTATGTCACCAGTCAGCTACGCCATTGCTTAGTGGTGTACCCCCTTCCTGACAAAAATCCTGGATCCGCCCCTGTCTTAAGAACTACACTTCATAAATATCTATTTACTCTCTTTACTTCGTAAAATCGTCAATTTAGAAATAGGTGTTGCTTGAACATGAATAACAGTTTTATTTGTTTGTGACCTCACAGGATTTGCTATTTGAAGTTTAAGGGAAGAGCTATAATTCTTTTTTCTTAAGGCTTTGAAAGAGTTCGATCATTTTGCATATAGGCTGCGTTAAACCCGAGTTATCGATTTCTTGAAGATATTATAGCCTTTCAGGCTACTCTAAATTTCGAGTTTAAATAAAGTTCATCTTCAGTATATAGACCCAAGTTCAAACTCACTGCGGTTTAGAAATAGCCACTTTCCAGAGTTAAATATAGCATAAAAGCTTAGGAGATGAACAAATTGTCGAAGTGAAACCTTATAGAAGTGAAATCCGATTTTTTTAATGTTTGCTGGCGAAAAGCCTGCGAAAGCAAAGCGCGAGCTTGGCGAAAAGCAGTCTGTTTAAACGTGGGTCTTACATATTAATCATTATCATTGGTTTCTCGTGCTGCAGTGACGTAGAGTAATAGCAAGGGTAGCGTACATCAACACTCATCCTCCAATATGATGTATGAATACACCCAAGCTGGAAGCTGTTGGGACGAAAACAGAAGATACCTCAATTGCTTGATTTTTAAAGAAAAATCTCCAAAGTTTATTTTTTGCTTTTGCTGCAGAGTATTTTTGTCGTGTATTTCAGGATGTAGCGTTAATTTTGTCATAGAGGCAAGTGCGATAATATGGCACAATAATCCATTTGATGGAGTTTTGAATCGCAAGGTATCTTAGTCTGGAAATACGTAAAC